GATCCGAAATTTATGTTAAAGGTTGTGAAGTGTTAAAGTTTGGTAAAATTTTGTAAATCAGATTGAACAGAAATTTTGAGAAAATTTGAAAGATATTAAATTAAGCTTAGAAATATTATTTCCACATTTTAAAATGATGGAAAATAATATGGACCAATGGATTTGAGAATTTATTTCCATGTTCAATTTGGACCGTTGGATGAAAATGACAAGATTGAAATTCTTGGAAAGTTGCATGGATAAAGTTGTCAATGGTGTAATATTTTGTTCATCTTTGACTTTGGAAGATAATAACCTACATGTGGCTTGATATTGATGTAATTATCAAGTTTCATTAATGGTAAAATTGTCATTTTTAATTAAATGAATTTTAAATTCATTTAAGTTTAATAAATGACAACTTAATATGAAATTTACTAGAAATTTCATGAAAATAAGACCTTCTTCAACCTCCATTTCGTGCTCCTCATAACCTAGGTAAGAGAAATTTTATTTTTTATTTTTGAGCAATTTCCTTTGGATTTTGGATGAAATAGAAAATTGTTTTATTCGAAGAACTCTATCATTTGGTACCATTATTGCATGCTAATCTTGCTTGAATGTTAAGTTCCCAAATTTTTTGGGTTTAAGTTCATGTTAGCGTTTTATGAATTGATGATGGATTTTGAGGTTGTTGAGGCTGTAGAATCATTTCTAAGCTTGTTTGATGATCAAAACCACCTAGAAATGCTATATTGATTTTTGGCCTAAACCCTAAATTAAGGTAAGTTTGTGATTTGATGCAATTGAGTTAGGGGTTTGATTGTAGAGGTTTTAAAATGTTGAATAGAGGTTGATTTCATGCTTGAATCAAATTGAAATCAAGTGAAATAATTAAACGATATCCCCTTAACATTCGGCCTAAGCTTTTGTAAGTGAGAAAAATTATGGAAAAATTATACAAGGGTTGGAAATGATGTAATATGGATCCTACAAGCTTTAGAAAGTTATTTAGACCAATTTGTAATTTTGAGAAAGTTGAGAGACATATTTGGCAATTTTGATAAGTTATGGGGTTTGATGTGTAATTATTTTTATACATGAAGCACTATACTGGAAATTAATGTTAGAGTTATGAATTTGGTGTTACAAAGTGAAATTTGACTATTTTGGGAAGTTGTCAAAGTTTGAATAATAAATGACAAATATTGAGAAAGTTAGTGGCTTAAGTGGTAATAATGGAATTTTTGAGGCATTGGGCTGGAAATTAAATGCTGAAAATTTAATTAAATTGTTTGAGACTTGAATTGAAGTAAAAGGGCAAATGACTATTTAGAAGAAAATGAAAAAGTTAAGTTGAATTCTAAAAGAATTCACAAATAGTTGTTAAAATGGAAAGTTGGATAAAAAGATACTTGAATGGTCAACTTGAAGTGTTAAAGTCAATATTTATGTTGTGACATGAAATTAGTATCGAATGAACATCAAAATTTTTTTAGGAATTTATTTTCTATTGTGTGCCTATGTTAGTGAGATTCTAACATGTTTGAAATGTACATGTTTTGTAAATGATGTTCATTTAGATTGTGTGCTTGAAATCAAGATCAAGAAATGTTAAAGCTAAGGAGAGCTTAAGGATGAAATGTGAATTTCTAAGGGAAGTTGCAAGCTAAGGACTTTATGTGAGTGCATATTTAATTTATATTTATGATATCGTGCAAACATTGACTTGCGATGAGTCAGTGAAGGAGTTACTATGATAAGAAGTGACTCCTAAATGTTATGAAATTTAGCGATTCATGCATATATGTTCATTTTGTATGCTAATAGAATTAGTGAATAAGCTAAAAATATAAGTTAGTGAAATTTACCCATATTTGTGTTCTGAACAGTAAATTAGAAAATCACCATAAATTCTATATAAATGATTAGGGGATGATTTTTATGGCGTTGGATTTGTATATAAGTCTAGTTTTGTTGAGAGCAAATGGATACTGATTTCAATAAATATAAAAAAGATATTAATTTTTAATCGAGGATAGGTCAGAAAACAGGGCAGCAGATTCTGCTCAAAACAGCTTCTGTAAGTCAACTTTGAAAAATCACTATAAATTGTACAAGATGAACTAGAAGGAGTTCCTTATATTTTTAGATTCATATTCAAGTCTAGTTTCCATTGGCATAAACAAAATAATTTGAAAAATCACTATAAATTGTACAAGATGTATTATTAGATTAATACATAATAATATTTCTTTAAAGGTAGTGCAAACTGCCAACATATGAAACTTGTCATAAATTATGTTTTCATGTTACTCCTATGCTATCATAAATGTTTGAAATGAGTCAACTTTATTACATTTGGCATGATAGTTAAGATTATTTATTTCATGATGAATATGAAGTGTTTATGTTCAAGAAAGGTAATTGATGATGATTATGATATATAAATGTTATGCGGAAATAAAATGTTTAGGGTATGAACTGCCCATTATGTTATTATATGAAAAGTCATTTATGTTGATATATTGATATCTTTTATATTTAATAACGCATAATAATTAATGGAAAAACTCATTGTATGATGCATTGAAAGTTGTAGTTACATTTGGTATGCCAGGAAGTTGAGTAAAGTTCAAGTTAAGTCAAGTTATGGTACATTCGTGTACATTACGTATGGCACCGCTGGTGCATATGATATGTTTCGCACTTGGAGTGCATCTTATGATGATGATTGGCACTGTGAAGTACCTAGTGCACACATTATGTATGACTCACGTACCTTGCATTCTCATAAATATGCATTGGGCTATGAACTTAAAAATAAGCTATGGATATGAAATTAAGTTATGAACCTAAAATAAGTTATGAGTCCAGAAACAAGTTCAGAATATGAGAAAGAGTTATGAAATGTGAAAGTACGGATTACGAAAATGAAATGTGAAAGTGAATATGAAAGTGAAAGATGAAACTGAGATATGAAAGTTTTGTATTGTATATGAATGAAAAAGAATATGATATGACTATTATGCATGATATTGTTTATCATGTCTTTGATATGACTATTATTTATGATATTGTTTAGCATGGTTTTGATAAAATCATGAGATGATGATTTTCAGGTCAGAAAAATAGCTTGAATAAATCGGTTTTGATATTTAGTGATTTTATTGGAATTAAAGTCAATGTTTTAAATTGTTATGATATTATTAAGTTTTATATAAGTGAATATGTTGTTTAGATGTTGTTAAGTTGTTTGATATTATATCATTTTAGTTTTTTTATAATGTCTCACTAAGTGTATACTTAGCGTGTGATGATTTTCACTCTTAAGTAAAGAAGAGCAAGTGAAGTAAGGAGTTGAGTGGACATCAAACAATAAAGAAAAAGTTATAGGTATCAGTAATGACATCCTACCATTTTAAATTTTCTAGATGACATGTATACGAATAAGAAAAGTTTAAGATATGTTATTATGGATACAAATACAAATTTAAGTTTTGTGTTTTAGATAAAAATTATATTTTGACAGAGTAAAGAGATATTTTAAATTAGACAGTTTATCTTATGATATGGAACAATATATAACTGTTTAGTTGTTGCCTAAACTGATATTGATTTAGAGGCTTAAATACTATAATATGATTTTACGTGATATCATTATTTATTGAAAGGATTAAATTGGATACATTTTTAAAAGTTCAAAATTTCTTTTTTTTTTTTTTTTTTTAACTTTTGTTAATGTTTTGCATGTATTGAATATTCTTGTATTTGAATGAAGCTTTAGTTTTCAACTAAGAATTTCATTTTTTCCCTCTCTTATCCTTATAACTCTTTATCTTCACCGTTACAACATAATTTCATGCAGGAAAACGCTTACATCTCTTTGAAAAAGTGCCATGAAGAAACACCCCCTTTTTCAAAATATAGGGAGAAAATTTATGTATTCTACAGTCTGTTTGCGAGATAGTTTAAATTAAAATATTTTAATTAAGTTATATAAATTTAAATATAATATAATATGTTAAAATTTATAAGAATATATGACATTTCATATGTAAAAAATATATAAATATTATTGTACATTTTATAGATCTCTTTGCAAATTATCTCTTTGAGATATGTATCTTCTAGAATATTATAATTTATCAATTTGATTGTTGTCAAATTTATCACCAATTAAATCTATTATATCACGATTATATTAATTCATTTTATCGACATAAAATAATCATTATCATTTTATGTCTTACATCAACCTTCAAAAGCCTATATATATAAATCCCATGCAAAATCAAAGAGAAACTTTAATCTCTCTCTATATCTCATGATTTAAATCTTTCTTCCCTTTTCACAAAATCATCATCTATAATTTTTCGTCAAAATCAAAAATTAAATGTACGAATACAAATTTAAGGTAAAATTGATAAAGGTTAATAACCGATCAAAACGCAGAGATGGACCAGGTCGTTGATAGAGAAGCAGATGCAACGAATTCAACACGTCACCATACCTTTGAAGTTGATTTTGGTAGGGACTTGACGGCTCAACTTCTACCGAGAAATTTCGGTTTGTTTTGAGCAGGGAAAATCAGAAAGCTTTTAGTAAGACCCGTCAAACGTTGAAAAGACTTATTCAAAGCCTTTGGTATAGCTGGGAAGCGAAGAGGGGACTTTAAATGACAACACTGCCTTCTTTTTTATTTGTTTCTTCCATTTAACACTTGCCATATCTACCACTTTTCATGCATTGAATAAACAACCATGGTAGCATTTTCTACCTTTAAATTGACTTTTCAAATATTTCTCCAATTAAACGAAGCACGCGTATTATGAACCCATAGCAGAGCTTGAGCAAATAGAGAAACACAATTACATGATAAAAGTCATTAATAACAACCACAAACAAAATGGTTCAAAAGTAACATTACAGCGTTCCAACTTGAAACAACCTAAATATATGCATAGCATTTCTTTTCCTCATCAACTGCATATCCAACTGATAAAGAGAAAGCCTACTTACTACACACGCCTTCTTTTGTTTTTAAGGTTCTCGAAAATCTGGTTGACATCAGCTTCTGTTTTTGCCGTCGAAGGATCAACTGACCCCTAATGGTATAGATAAATCTTAGTGGCAGTACATTTGCTTGTGAAAAATGCAAAAACGAAGAACCTATATGATGCAGGAAAATTGAAAAAAAAAAATAAACGTTAGCAACTAAAAAAAGGTACAAAATTCAAAGACATACCAGGAACGAACGGAACTCCTCCGTGAAGTCTGCAATGCCATTCAGAATCTCCATTTTTTCTATATGACCAAGATTGTTAAAGAAATTTAGTTGAGCACCCTCCCTTCGCGGCAACTTTTCTTCCCTCTTCTGCTTTGCATTCTTTTCATACTCTGCTATCGAATCCTCCTCGTCAAGTAGATTACTCATTTGCTTCTCCTTGTACATATCCAAGCACTTGCCACATATGCAGAGGGCACCTCTCCAGTTTTTAGAAAGGAAAAGCGGTTTACTTCCCAGATCGACTGATGCAGCCATCCAGTCTACCCCAACAATACAAGTAGCAGGTGTACTGGCCATACTTCCGGGCGAACTTGAGATGCCATCATTCTGAGAGCTTTCTCCAATAACAAACTTCTTGACATCAGATATAGCTCCAACATTATCCTTTTGGGAAGAATCAGGGTACACACCATTTTCAAGTTTTCCAGCTCCGTCATCTATAGGAGGGATGTCTTCCACTACACTTTTATCCTTGCTAGTGGTGACAGGAGCAACAGGCTGTCCCCCCACTGCACATATGGTCTTAGAATATAGAGTCAGAAAAGAACAAACTGCAGAGCATGCTTTGCATATAAAATCCTCATACTGAGGATCCCCTTCCTCATCTCTAGGAACCTGTCATACAAGTATTCTCAGATCGGATTCTATTATCCGGTATCAATAACTCGGAATAGAACAAAAGGAACTAAGTAAAAGTCTTTTTTTTCACAGTTCCTCTTCTTTTGCAATATCTAAGCTCAAACTATTTACACCGCACAGCTAGAAATAAAATAATCAAGTAAATGCGCCAATGGAAAGATCCTTCAAACAGATAAACTGTGATATGTTCACTGCAGTTAGCACTTTTCGTTTTCAAATAACTAGAACTGATATTCATGTTTAAAGAGAGTTCAGGCCAGAACAATGCCACTGGCATCATGCTGAATTGAAACAGAACCCCGAGGAGGGCACAGTAGAATAACAACCGAAAGTTTAACCCGCTAAGATACAGCCAACAAGCACATTGCAAGTGATCATATTTGTATAAGAGGATGCAAGCTTATAAAGCAACTCCATAAATGCCAATGATTTTAAGTTAACCGCAAAATCAGAACACTGTGTCATTATAAAGGACATCAGGCAAAACCTGATGAAGAAAAAGCATCATATGAAACTGTTGGACATGCACCCAGCTTACCAACCTCATCAGGAGAGCTTTGGCAGATATGCTCCTCGTGAAACCAGTCCTCACACATACAGCACTGTATCATCTCTTCTTGTTCCTGGCGATCTGGATGTGGATAGGGGCGGTTGCAGGTGCAGTAGACACCTTTGAAGTTGTGATTATATGAATTCTCGATATTCTCTGCATCCTTATTTGGGAAAAGTTTACACGAGAACTCTCCAAATTTGGAATTTCCACAATCACACCTAAAACTTTTCTTGGTCCAGAGTTCCAAAATCTTGAATTGCAACAAAAAAAATCTCAGACATTCATGCAAGCAGATATAAAAGGATATGATATTTATACAAAGATCATTCAAAATAAGGAAGCACATGCTTATCGACAATCTTATGTATATATAAACTCCTAACATGCATAACATGAACCTAATGCTCAAGTAAGCATGTAAAGTTTCAAATGCAACCCAGCATATATAACTTTATTCAGCACTCAAGTAAGCAAGCCAAGTTTCAAATAGCAATAGGATCTGTAAGAATGAAAACCTTGCGTTTCCCACATTTGAACCACACAAACATTCTTAAACCAATTCATCATTTATTCCATTATAAAACATTAAAAACTAATAATGATGATGTCCCATTATTGTTCCAAAAAAGCAGGTTTAGAAATTTATGTTCAAGAACAAACTCATGTATGAGTTCGTTTATTGATTCGTTTATTTATGTTGATTAACAAGCTAATGTATGAGTTCGTTTATTGATTCGTTTATTTATGTTGATTAACAAGCTCGTTTAGAAATTTTTTTTTTTATTTCTTTAAATTTTAAATATTAATGAATGAAGAAACTACATGAACTACATGGTCAATCATGAGTTTAAATTATGAAGCATAAAAAGTTTAAGTGCTAATGGCATAATTTTACTATTTTAGAAGAACATATTCACGGCAACTAAATAACCATATTTTTTTTTCTGGTTGCCCTCCAAGCTTCGCCATGACTAATTTAAACAGACCCGAGTTGTACATCTGATTTTGGTGAGTGAGTCTTCCATAGGAGATTTTCTGCATACATAAGGAGTCAAACTCAAAACCTCACTTAAATGATATCAAGTTACTTACCACTTGAATCAGCCCTGTTGTTAGTACTAAATAACCATATTAGCAAACATACAAACGACATGTTTACGTTTTTTTGCTAACCGAACTTTAGCTTCAGCATTTACTAGGGAATTTCCATTTGTTTATTCTACTTACTTTTGAATTCTCAAGGCTACAGCATGTTTAGTTTCCCTTATTTTGCATGGATCTCAATTCCCAGCCTATTTTTGCACGCTTATATACTTTATTCTTCATCAAACACTATGCTATGATATTCTCTTATTTTTTTCTCCTACATTACGTCATATATTGGTCCCAAAAAAACAAAGCTGATTTGTAATATAAAACTCGGACAAGTGTGATTTGTATCACACATTTTTTTATTAAAGTATAATTTCAGTAAAATGGTGTTTCGTATAATTAGAAATATCAGTAAAATAGACTTTCTTAGATAATATAATAATAAATAGTATATAATGGAAAACCCTCCCATCAACGATCTGAAGCCGTCTAGTAATCTTGGGGGTAGGCCTCCGGACAGTTCGTCAGGCGGTGGATCTCAAGAGGCTGTGGTTGTGGGCACTCAGGCGGTTCTTCTTGAGGGATTGGGGCTGTCGTTGGACACGAAGCGAGGAAAGTTTCAGCAACCTTCCACGGTAAGGCTCATGATGCCATATCTTACCGGATCATGGGTTGAAGGAGAACGATGTGGCTATGATTGATTCTATGAGGGTGGCTGATGGAAGAGAGAGTTCTACTAGGGAGGGTGATGCCCTTGCGAAGAGTGTGAGTTTAGTAACCCTAAACAATGGTGATCCCACGATTACGCCAGACGTTAAAATGGGTAAACAATATTTTAGAGACATAGTTAAGGGGAATTCTTTGGGTGGCCAACAGAATGCGTCGATTCACGAACTGGATTTGGACGTCATGCCTGAGGATGTTGAGCTGGTTCCAGGGGGACCTTTTCCCAAAATTAAGTTCTCAGGGTGTGTTCATGATGCCATTGACGCCAATCTTGTGAATTCTCTAGTAGTTCGGCTGTTGGGTAAGTTCATAGGATATAGATCACTAATGAACAGAATTAAAACGATTTGGAATCCTCAAGGTGAAATAAACTTGATTGACCTGGACAATGAATACTATATTGTGCGGTTTGCGAATGAAGAGGATTACAATCACGTTCTATTTGGAGGTCCTTGGATCATCTACGAGTGTTACCTTACCGTACAACCTTGGAGTAGATCCTTCTCTACCGCCGCTGATCATCCGATTAAAGTAATGGCTTGGTGTCGCATGCCGAGGTTACCCTATCGCTATTATACAAGAAACTTGTTTCGGTTTATAGCTAAAGCAATTGGTACAATGGTCCGAGTTGACTATAATACGGAGGATGGTAGTAGAAGTCGGTTTGCAAAGCTCGTTGTTATTGTGGATTTGGAGAAGCCATTTGTGACTGGAATAATTATTGATGATGGTCTTAAGCAACTAGTGGAATATGGAGGTTTACCAGTTATTTGTTATGACCGGAAAGTATGGGCATGTGCAAGAAAATTGTGGGCATCCCTTCGGTCATGACGGTGAATGGGGAGGAGAATAGAATTCGGATAACGGGGGATAAACCGTACGGGCCTTGGATACATGTGGTCAAACATAAAAAAGAAGATTTCAGCAGCTCGTAAAGGTGGAAATGACGAAACAGATAACCAAGGTGGGGGCAGCTAACTGGTTCCCGTTTCTCGGTTCTTGATGCTCATCTTGAGAAGGAGAATGTGACGCCGATTCAAACACCTTAAGGACATCGGGAGAATGGAAAAAGAGCAAGTGGCATTACTGGTTCGGTTAGAATCGCTCAAAGATCAGGTGAGAAGGCTGAATCTAGTAAGCAAGGGGGACATAAGAATAACCTATGAAAATAGATGCAAGTTGAAAGAAGTGTCCACGTGACTCCACTTCAACCTCTTAATCTTACTACTGTTGCTTCAAAGGATAATGTTGTTCAGGTCTCTTCATCGCTAGAAAAGGACAAGTATATTGCTGTTCAGGTGGTGGAGAGTGATGAAAATAGAGCACCTCTGGATCAGGGGTTACACATTTCTCAAAGAATGACGAATGTCTCTTCTTGGAAAGTTACAAGCAAAGGCTTATCGGCGGTTCAAGGTCTCTCAAGAAAAGGTTTAAAGACTCGAAAAAAGAAGAGAGGGTACCGAACAAACTGGTTCTAACTGAATGGTTAGCTTCCTTGAATGACGAAGTAAATCATGCCCAAGATTTGGCCGTGTTGCCTGGACATAGAGAATTACGACCCTTTGGTCGGGTGGAGAAGACGGTTCAATGGAGGAAGAACAACACTTTTTAGCAGTGTGCTCATGATAAGATGCATGTTTAGTTGTGGGAGTGCAACCTTTCTGTTTAATTATTTATTAATGACTATGTCCTTTTTTTGGAATGTTAATGGTGCTCGGGATCCTGATTTTAATAATTGTTTTAAGTTGTTGGTAGATATTCATAAGCCAAACTTAGTGGTTATCTTTGAACCTCAGATCAATGGTTTGGCTGTTGATCAGTTTATTCGGAAGTCGGGTTTTGATTTCTCTTACAGGGTGGAGGCTATAGGCTTTTCAGAGGGTATTTGGATCCTTTGGAGGAGCTCTATTCAGTTTTCTGTTCTTACGATCTCTTGTCAGTTCATTCATGGTTGGTGCGACATCAGATTGAACGGTGAAGGGTTCTTTATTACATACATATATGCTAGTTCTGATAGCATATTAAGCGGGGAGGTTATGGAATGAATTGAAGGTGTTAGAACCCTATTCAGATCATCTTTGGGTGCTTAGGGGAGATTTTAATGTTATTGGAAGTCGTTCGGAGCATTGGGGGGTCTCAAAATCGAGTGAGAGTTTGCCAACGGTTTTGTGACTTCATGTTTGAATTCGGGTTGCATGATATGGGGTTTATTGGGCCGAAGTTCACATGGAAAAGGGGGAATTTGTCGCAAAGAATCGATAGGTGTGTGTGTAATTCTTTTTGGCTCACTAAATTTCCTTAGTCAGAGGTGGTTCATCTCCAAAGATTGGGCTCTGATCATTGCCTGCTTTTACTTGATGTGGGGAATGGTCAATTTTTTGGTGTGGTATCTGCCTTACTGGTATATTGATGCCTAGAGTGATCATTCTGACTTTTTGAATCTTGTGAAAGATGTTTGAGAAGATGAGAGGCCTATTTGGGACAATATTTTGGACTTCCAATGCAAGAGTCGAGATTGGAACAAAAATGTTTTTGGTAAACGAAAGGTTATGCTTCTGGTTCGTGTTAAAGGGATTGAGCGGGTGCTAAAGGATTCGAAAGATGACTATCTGTTATAATTGACGGATAACCTTAAAAAAGAATTGTGGTGTGTTTGATCGCGTGTATAAGTGTGTGTTGTGGCACGTAATTCTGTGCAAGTATACACAATCGAAGCAAGTAATATATAGTAGTAAGTGAGTTATCGTCTCCACAGGGATTTGTGAGAATTTTTTATGATTGCTATAGCTAGAACTAGGTGTCACTAACTAGTCCTAAGATTCTTGTCTAATGGTATTCACAAAGGAAAAACAAGTAGTAGCAAACAGATGGAAAAAGGTATGGTCGAGGCAAGAAAAATTGTAAAGTGAAGTGAGCAGAAAAGTTTTATCGTAGAGAGAAAAATATGTGAAGGTAAACAAATAAAAGTTGTCAAGACAAAGAAAAATGTTTAGTTCAATATATTCTGAAAAACCTTACACAATCAGACCTCTAACAGAACACTTGGGTTGGATTCGCTACAGCAATAAATTATTCTATGTTTAGGATGATTTAGTATGCTATGCCTATACTGCCCGACAGAATTTACTATAGTGTTCTTAGAAATTTTCTACGACAATACTACCTAGCGTGAACTGCAACCCTAGGTTTGTCAATCTATTGCTGCGGCAATACCCCTCAGCGTAAACTGTTGCTTTAGCTTATCTACTCAAGCATTTACCCTTCTTAGTCGAATAAAACCCTCTCCTTATCTCTAAGGCGGATTAGAACCTCACAATCTCGGATTAGTTCCCTTTTTCATGTAGACCTAACCTAACTCTTTCGAATATTAGGTATTAACTCTTAAAAAAATGGAAATATTTTAAAAGCTCTTAAAAAGGCTAGGAATGTTTTGTCGTAGCACCAAACAATCTTTCAAAAGCTCTTACAGTGCCAAAGAAAAAGATTAAAACAGTAAACAAAATAATATTCAACAATATTCAACAAAAACATACTTAATCATTCATTAACAATCGAATAAAGTATCATTCAAGCATTTCCAACACCAAATAAAACAATTTATGGTGTGACAAACATCATCCCAAAAATAATATTTAAATACAAGCTCTTAAATGATATGTAAATGAAGAACAAGAGGAATAAAAACTCCCAAAACAAAGCTCTACCATGACATCAGACCACCACCATGACGGCTCTAGTGGCCAGCCTCTCTCAAGGGTCTGGCATTTGCTCCGGTGAAGCCTGGCTATGGAGGGAACCAAGGAAGGTCGAGTGAGGGACAGTGGAAAAGGATGTGCTACAACCACCTTTCTCCAAGCGTCACTTTTAGAGTATGTTATCTCTTCTCCATTAGGGTGGTATAATGAGATGTGTATAGTGGAGATTTCTAGGGGGTTTCATGCCCATTGTGTGAATAATATGGTAGGTGGTAGTGGTCCTAAATTCCTTAGCAGGGGAATGGTTTCACATTAGGTGTATTGGAAAATTGGCCAAGTGACGTCAGAAGTTTTGTCTTATGTTGCGTCAGACTTGTGAGATAAAAACTCGTCTTAGCAAGAAAATTTATTCATCACTGTCGTCGTCTTATGTTCCACTAGCCATAGCAAATTAATTTGTCTCGGAAAATAAATTCTTTCTCAGTCATTTCCTACATCATCACAACTAACAAACAACTCTTCTCCTCAGCAGCATTAGTTTAGTCAAATAAACTTTGCCTCGACAATACTTATCCACCACATGCAAATATGTCCTAAATGCAACTATATACAGCTAAAATGGTATGTCAATGGCTTTTAG